GCAGGGCTGGCAAGGCCTGGAGGAAGCCCTCTCACTGTGTTCCAGGGCAGCCCCAATGGTTCCTCCCCATGTCATGAAAACCTACTCCCCTCAGAATCTCTGCCCCCAGGCCCAGAGTGCCAAGCCAGCCACCAAGGCTGGAGGATCCAAACCCTGACTGCAGCCACGCAACCTGTGGCATGGCCAGCCAGGTCCAAGTTGCCCTGGGAGTCAGGGAGAGGGCAGGCACAGAACGGCAGCCCCTCTTGGCTGATTTCTGGGTCCAGGTCCACTCCCAAACAGCTGACCGCCATCCTGTGTCTATTGCCCTAAAAGAGATCCCAGGGTCCTTCATCCCTGCGCCGGGACTGTGCAGTCTCCCAAACCCCCTTGGACAAGCCAACCCCCCCGCACACACACACACCCCAAGGAGGCCCTCAAGCCAGCTGGGGTATGCATGCAGCTGTGTGATAGCAAGTTTGTCCATGCCTGCTGGCCACTCAGTTAATCACACAGTGATGAACACCAGTGTCCCAGGGGACAGAGGTCAAGGCCATCGATCCGTTCTCCCTGCGTTGGTTTTTCCCCTTGCAGAAAATACAGTCCCACAGGTGATCCTGGTTAAGAAAAAAATCAGTTCGACATCAATGGAAGATATTGACTCTGTTTTCTGACCTCATTGTGGGTAGAGGGAGTCGAGGCTTGAGGGGCTGGTGCAGGGTCAAGGAGGGGGCTGAGGTCTCCTTTCTCTGTCAGTACCCCATCGCTACCTAGGCTCAACCGGCCAGGCAGGTGGAAGGGCTTCCTGCAAGCACTCTATTTCCTGCCTCTCTGTGCCCGTCCTCTCCTGCGTGATAATAGCTGACAGCTGCTGGGGAACCCAGAGCCCCGCAGAGGCTTGAACCTGGTGTTACAGGCACCTGAGGCTTCACAAAGAGAGGGATAGTGAATGGCGAGGAGCCCAGCAGGTGGCAGAGGGGCGGCGGGCCTAACAGCTGGAGGGCAAGCAAAGTCCTGGCCAAGAAAGCTGCTGCCTCAGGCAGTGCGGTAGCTAGAGCGCTGGCAGGCTGGCCAGGGCTGAGTTAGGCAGGGGTGGTGTGAATGCCCGGCTAAGACCTGGGACCCCTGCCCGCCTCCACAGCTATTTGAGTCAGGGACTGGGGGTGCCTATAGAAGGGAGGCCTCGAGAGGAGGAGGTGGCAGAAAGACCCCAGGGACACAGCCTGGGGTAAAATAAAGGGGTCAGGCTTCAGTCTGCAGGGGGAAGAGGCAGGGCCTTGTCCTGTCTTCACCACGACAGAAAGGCTTCCCTGAGCTAGGGGTTCCCTGGAGGAGGGGTGTGGGCTTGGTCACTGCCAGAGGCGGTTGGACACTTGTGGAGTAGGAAGACTGGGGAGCCCCCAGGTGCTGGGGAGGGAAGGAGGGTCAGGGAAGTCGCTGCGCTGGGGTGGAGGGTGGGGGGTGTAGAGAAGTGCTGGGAAGGGAAGGGGACAGGAGAATGGCCTCTAGAAGCCGGGCTGGAAGAGACAACAGGGAACGGTCCCCCGCGAGGCCCCCAGGCCTGTATGCTACAGGCTGCGCAGTGCAGAGATGGAAACGAGAATGCACACCTGTGAACCCCCCCACCCCCGCTGCAGTGTGCCAGACCTGCCCAGCCCCCCCCTTCACAACCGCAGGACCGTGTGGAGCGTGATCTGAGAGGTTCCATCTCCCCCCAGGGACACACAGCTGGGGAGCGAAGATGTCAGGATTCCGCCCCACCGCTCCCCAGGGAGATGATCCCTGGCCCCCCTCACAGGCCAGAGCATCTGGAGTCCGTCCCCCCACCCCCAACGGCACACCTGGGAGAGCAGTATTATGTTAATGTATGTTAATGAGTATAGTGGGTCCCTGGAGTCCGCTTTGGCAGCATTCCTGGCACTGCCCTCCCCCTCCCCCAGGCTATGAAGGAGGGGAGAGGAAGGCCCCACCCCCAGCCCCCCTCCCCTCCCCCCTGCTGGGCAATGAGGAAAACAGGAGTGAGTGAAGAGCTGTGATGTGGCTGGTTGGGGGGAGGCTGCCCCATCCCAGAGGGGTTGACCTCAGCCAGGGAGGAATGTGCAGGAGGCGGAGGGCTGGGGCGGAGTGGGTGGGGGCAGGGCCACAGCCAGAGGCCCAGGGTTCCTGGTGGCCCCTCCTTCAACCCCTCCACCTCAGCTCTGAAATGGCCCTCAGAAGGGAAGGGGAACGGGCAAGGAAGGGAGGAGCTGATCTTTCCAAAAAGGTGGGCCAGGGGTCCCCTGGGAGTGTGGAGGCCAGGCCGGGGGCGGGTGGGCAAGTGCCTCAACAGACCCTTTCCCAGGAGATCCCCTGGGGTGGGTGGTCAAGTGTCTCTGGGAAGTTCGGCCTCGGTTAGTTTCTCGCCAGGCCCACTTTTTACTGCCTCTGCCCCCCATGCCTAAGCAGGCAGGGAGCTTCTCCTTATACCCACGTGGCCAGAACGGGAAAGCTGGAGCCACCAGCCTTGATGGCTAAAGCAGGTGTGAGTTGGGAGCCAGCGTGACCCAGCCCAGGCTGGGCACTGGGAGGGTTGGCTGCAGCCTTCCTCGGATGGATGGTCTATAGTCCAGGCAGGGTGCAGGGTGCAGGCTCAGCTGGTGATGAGGGGTAGGCAGGTGCTGGGACTTGGCACAGCAATCCAGGTACTTCCAGAAGGAAAAAGCAAGGCCTTGGCAGGCTGTGCCCCTGACAAGCAGCACCAGGACAAGAACCGGAGAGGCCTTTACCCACAGATGCCCTGGCAAAGGGTGGAGGCCCAGGAGCCTGGGATGACGCTAGGGGAGGGGTGCAGGAAGGAGTAAGGACCCCAGCTGCCTCCCCTGGTTTGTCTCATTCTGTGGAGACATAGGCCCTGGCTGCCTGTTTCCAGAATCCTTGAGGACTTCCAGGGCCCACTGTGACCCACAGCCAATGACCTTTCTCCGGGAGTGCTGTCTCCATGAGGTCCCTACCCAGGGCCTGGCATACACTTGGACCTGGGCCTGAGAAACAGACAGGACACCTTGTGGGAGACAGACAAGTTGAGCTGCCACCCCTAGGGATCCCCCTTTCTGCTCCAGGGAAAGGACACATCTGGTGGAAGGCAATGCAAAGGGCTCAGGTGGCCCAGGGACAGCCCGGTTGCCTTGGCTGGGGGTTGAGTCCCAGGGTGTCGGGAAGATGGTGGCGGATTCTAGTCCCATTTCTCAGTATGGTCACAGGGCTAGGGGTAGGGGGGGAAGGTGGGATGAAACAGAGGCTGGGACCCTGGGCCTGAAGAACGAAAAGCAGTGGAGGCAGGTAGGGGGCACAGCAGGGGTGGATGGGGACCTCAAAGGCACTTGCTGATCTTGGCTGCTTGGGTGGAAAATTATAAACAGCCCAAGAATTTTGTTTGCTTGCCTGGGGCCAGGGGAGGCTGCCCAGGTTCAAGGCAAGAGAGCCTGGGAAGAGGGACAGGCCGCATCCTGGAAGCCCAGGAGCTCAGGCAGGGGTGCATCCCTCTACTCCCCCTCCTGAAGGCCCCTGGTCCTCCCACTGACCCCTACCCTTCTCTGCCAGCCAGCCAGCCAGCCAGCCGGGCCAGGCACACTAAGTCCTGAGGCTCAGGAAAGAGGCAGGCATGGCCCCACCCTGGCTGGGCACAGATACTTCTCCTCCAGGGGACTTGGCAGGAGATGGGCAGCAGAACTATGTGCACTTGAAGTGGCTATACAGCTTCCCTTGCTGATCCTCGAGGAGCTGCTGACCAGCCTTAGGGACGTTGCAGGAGGATGCCTTTTAGGGGGATTGAGGAGTGGAAGCCCATCCTCCAGCCCTGGCATGTTCACCTCAGTGAACCTGAGGTCCCCACTAGGCCATTGTCAACATTTAGCCCCTCCAAAGAAGTACCCCTGGCAGTACAGTGTGCGTCCACCAGAATCAGCCTTAAGCCAAGCCCCCAGACCCTTCCCAACTGAGGTGCTGAGGTGTAGGAGCCCCGTCCTATCTGTGACAGAGGCCCCTTTAGGTACCTAGCTCTGTGGTTGGTGGGGCGGTTCCTCCCACCTTCAACAGAGAAGAAAGACTGGAGTCACAGAGCTCGCATCGAGGGCCCCTCACCTCCCTTCAGGACAGGGCATCTGGATGGGCCCGCACCCCGCAGTGCACAATAAGACTTCCTGGGCTTCCCGGATCTGCCGACTACTCTCTGCCTGCCCCTCTGGTCCTCCTCTCCCTGGAGCTGGTGGGAGTCTCTATTACTTTTCCCTCCTTTGCCTTGACTGGCAGCCCCACTTCCAGGACTGCTGCTTGGGCCCTATTACCCTGAGGACTGACAGCGGAGGGGTCGCCCCTACTCGCGCCTCCCTGGTGCCCGCTCCACTCCAGCTGGGCCGTCATCTCCAGCCGTCCCGGCTGCCTGCCCAGTCACCCGATCTGCCTGCCCCACCCCGTCAACTTGACAGCGTGTGTAGGGCGGTGGCTGGCTTGGTGGGGGCGGGAGCTGCTCCTTAAAGGAGCCGTCCGAGGGTGCCCTGAGGCCCCTAGGCTTCTCCCCTTCTCCAGGGTGAAAGGGGCTAGGGTGGGGGAGGTGCTGCTGCCGGAAAGCTTGGTTAGACTGTGGGAAGGCAGCCAGGTGTTTTCTGGCATCACAGACTTCACGGGCCCAGAAGAGGCAACGGCAAGGGTCAGTGGAGGGCAGGAGGGAGGTGGGAGTCCCAGCCTGGGAGGGGGCCAGGAGCTACAGAGCTGGGCAGGGGCACGGGGGGAGCGGTCTGAAACATGCCTCAGCAGCTGTGCCCCTTGCTTTATTACACCCCACAACCTTGTCCCACACAAGGGCTCCTGTGCCCGGCACCTGCCTGGCCAGCCTCCGGGAAGGACGATGGGCATCGCAGCCAGAGCCTGGCCCCATCTGAAGTGCAGGGAAGGGCTCTGGCTCAGAGAGGTGGAGGGGCTCAAAGGTGGGGAAACCCTCAGGGCGAGGGCAGGGGTGAGAGGGCTCAGGGAAGGGGAAGGGCAGCTCCTCCAGCTGGGGGGAGAGGCTTCCTCAGGCCCTTGGCTTGCCCCACTTGATTTCTCTTGGGTCTGAAGTCTGAGCTCACAGAATTTCTATGTGTGACCAGCCCTTTCCACCCTTTGGGATGAGGAGAGAGAGAGGCCAGCTCGAGCTGGGGCTGTTGGACCTGAGTGGCAGGAGCCCTCGTCAGAGCTGAGGCTTCTGCCCAGAGCTTGAGTCTCCTGGACAGCACTTCTCCTTCTGGAAAACGGGTTGAAGCAGTGATTGGCTGACACCGCAGTTGTTTTTGCTCACCTGCATGTCCAGAGACATGCATATACTCACCTGTGCACACACATTTGCACGTGCATACATTGTGAGACACATAGGTACACAGTGCACATCACACAGATGTACACACTGCATAGACATGCATACAATGCCGTGTGACCGCGTGCACATGCCACATATCTACATGTGTAATAAACACATATGCCATATGGCCTCACAGAGATGTACACCTGTGTGGGCATACACACTACACATGCACGTGCAATACAGATATACAAAGGGACCCTCAGAAACATTCACTCACAGACACCCACACCGTTGGCTCCAGCCCCAAAGGTGCCTCTGTTTCTCCGTGGGTCTGTGGGTACACAGCCAACTCTACAGGCCTGACTCCCTCCTGTTGCTTTCACTCCCTGTGACGGGCTTGTTTTGCTCTTTGCACCTCCCGCCCTCTAAAACACCAATCTGAGTCTTTGTTGGCACTCTGCCCCTCCTGCATGGGACCTTGTCTGTGTCCCCCAGTGTCCCCAGCCCAAGTCCCAGGCTGGCATGAAGTAGGTGCACAGAGTGTGTGAATTAATGTCTGTGAGTGTGTATACAGGAGGGTGGGTTACTGGGGAGGGTGACGTGGTAGTGGTGGAGGAACTGGTGCCTGCCAGTACCGGGGTGACCCTGAGGGTGTGCCCAGCGTGGGTGTGTCTGTGATTGTGGCCAGGCAGGGCACCCTCCAAGGGAGGGGAGGGTTCGGAAGTGGAATGCCACCCCCTAGCCTCTTTCCCCCAGGGGCTGTAATCTGATCCCTGGGGACTCCCCCTAGCCTCCCGCCCTTGTCCTTGCTGCTACTCCTTCTTTTCCAGATCCCGGGGCAGAGTCCAGGGCGGCTCAAGTCTCCTCCTCAAACGCCTGCTGAACCCTGAGCGCCCTGAGCCGGGATGGGGCAGGCGGAGGCTGCCGCCATGATCCCAGGCCTGGTCCTGCTCTGGATAGCAGTGCTGGGGGGTGCCTCCCCCAGCCCTCCACGCCTTCGGCTCTCCTTCCAAGGTAGGTGCACCTGGTATGCAGGAAAGCCCAGCTTAGGGTGGGCAGGAAAGGGGCCCAGTGTGGGTGGGGGGCATTGTGTTTGCTGCCACCCATGTGTGTACCACCTGACTCAGTTTGGATTGGGCGCACTCTCAGGCTATCTTCAGTTAACCCTTTCCTGGCCTCAGTCTCCAACCTCTCTGCCCACATTCTCCTCATGCTTTCCCAGAAAGACTGCTTCTGTCCCCATGGCAACAAATCTGGCCTCTGTCCCATCCCTTACCCCCAAAGAAGTTGAGGTATGGGGGCCATTAGAGCCCCCTTCCCACACCTCCTACACAGGAGGGTCATCACTAGGCAGTGGCGTCACACTGAGCTCCAGCTGGTGGTAGGGTGGCAGAGAACCCTCAGTCTGACTTGGGGGGTGGGGTTCCAGCTTTCCCTACATGCCTAGCCTCCCCAGAACCCTGGCCTCCCAGTGTGCCCACCTGGAGACACTTCTTGTCCACACATGCCCAAGGAGCTCAATCTTCTTCCCCTGGGGGTGAGGGTTGGCTGCACTGCCCACCCTGGAAGCTTCACACCTGGGTGGGCCTGCCTTCATGTGTAAACCCATATGCGTGTAAATTCATATGTGTGTGGGCCGACCGTGGCATATGAAAGAGACAACAGGCAGGGCGTGGGGGGAGCTCCAGCAGCAAATCCTCAGTGGTGCCCCCACCCCACAGAGCTCCAGCAGCGGCATGGTCTCCGGACCTTCAGGCTGGCGAGGACCTGCTGTTACGAAGCTTTGCTAGTGGATGAGGAGCGTGGACGCCTGTTCGTGGGTGCCGAGAACCACGTGGCCTCCCTCAGTCTGGACAACATCAGCAAGCGGGCCAAGAAGGTGCCAGGGATCCCCAGCCTCTGCGATGCCCAGGGCAAGAGCCCTGGGACCCCACTCCAGACTGCCTGGAGATACCTAGGGGAATGGGTCCCCTGAGTGGACAACTGCAACATACAGAGTATCCAAAGTCGCTGACCTGTATTTCCCCTCCCCCCCAACCTCCCATAGCTAGCCTGGCCGGCCCCTGTGGAATGGCGAGAGGAGTGCAACTGGGCAGGGAAGGACATTGGTGTGAGTGTTGGCTGCCCGGGGTAGGAGCGGGGAGGGTCATCCCCTCACTCTATAGAGAAGGCAGTGCTAAAACAGAGGCCTGCCTGTTCTGGCTGGGATGGGGGCAGGGAGGTTGAGGTGGCTGAAGTCTGGAGGTAGTGAGTCAGGGGGTGTTCATGTAATTCTTCTTGGGGGCCCGTGAATCACAGGGAACAACGCAGGCCTATGCTTCCTCATGTACCCATTCTGGGGAAGGTGGGCTGGGCTGGTCACCAACAGCACTCAGGTCCCTGTAGCTCATGTTGGTAGTTGCCAGGGCTGATGCAGAAGAAAGGAAGGGGTGGGGGTGCCACTGGTGAGCTGGGACCCCTTAAGGCTGCCTTCCTGCCCCTGCCTCATTGCCCCTGCCCCTGTCTGCCCACTAGACTGAGTGCATGAACTTCGTGAAGGTACTGCATGCCTACAACCACACCCACTTGCTGGCCTGTGGCACAGGAGCCTTCCACCCCACCTGTGTATATGTGGAGGTGGGCCACCGGCTGGAGGTAAGGACAGATTCAGGCAGAGAGGGAGGTCGGGAGAGTCAAGAAGGGCCTGGCAGTCACAACTGCCCCCACCTACCAGGAGCCCATGCTCCGGCTGGACCTTCAGAAGCTGGAGGACGGCAAGGGCAAGAGTCCGTATGACCCCAGGCATCAGGCAGCCTCCGTGTTGGTGGGTGAGTCCAAAGGCTGGGACCCCAACAAACTCCTGGAGCCCCTAAGAGATTCTACAGCGGTTCTCAACCTGTGGGTCGCGACCCCTTTGGGGGTCGAACGACCCTTTCACAGGGGTCGCCGGGTACTCATATGTGGGCTTATCTGCATGTGGGATTGGAGACGGATAGAGGAGCGGTGTCTTGGTTCCTGAGACCATCGAAAATATGTGTTTTCCGATGGTCTTAGGCGACCCCTGTGAAAGGTTGAGAACCGCTGCTCTAGAACTTTGCAAAGTCCCAAGACACTCCTAGAGCCCCAGGGATCCTCTATAGCCTCACTGACTCCCCAAGAGCCCCCAGGACTTCACAGCTCCCTCCCCCTAGAGCCTTCAGCTTGGCTGAGCAGCCCTTGCCCTGTCTACAGGGGAAGAGCTATACTCGGGGGTGGCTGCAGACCTCATGGGCCGGGACTTCACCATCTTCCGCAGCCTGGGCCAGCGTCCGAGTCTCCGAACAGAACCACATGATTCCCGCTGGCTCAACGGTGAAAGGCTGGTGGGGCTGGCGGGAGGTGGCCCTTATCCTCAATAAGGCAGGGGCTGAGTAATGTCCATAAAAGAAGTGACCAAGGGGTGCAGCCAGGTCTCACCAAGTGCTACCATGTGTCAGGCCTTGTGCTAGGCACTGGGGTGGCAGGGCAGATGACATACGCCTTTTGTGAGTTCACAGGCCTCCTAACAAATATATATGATCAATTTCAATGGCCATGAGACCAATGAGAGAATAGAGAGGGGAAAAGGTGGTGGTGGTGGGAAGGCTGGGGGAAAGAAGCCATTCTGCTGAGTGATGTGAGCTAATTCCCAAAGCACAGCAGGACTGAGGGAAAAACATTCCAGGCAGAGGGAAAAACTAGTGCAAAGGCTCTGGGTCAGGAACAAGCCAAGGAACGGATTCATGTTGGCAGCAATGATAAGGGGCCCGGACTGTCAGGGGACAGGGTATTTCTTCTAAGAGTGATGGCACCCAGTCGAGTATTTGAAACGAGTGGGGGCATCTGCTTCCTGTTAGAAAGGAAGATTCTTGAGTGAAGTTAAAACCGGATACCCCATCTCCCTCCTTTCTTGGCCCACAGGCATAGGGAACTGTCAGGGGCAAGGTGAGAGGGCTGTACCTGGATGAGGCTCCTTCCTTCTGTGTGCCCAAGTTGCCATGGTCTCTGCTGCCCTCTCGTGGCTGCTTCTTGACTCTCGGGCCCTGAGCTTTCGGAGTCTGTTCAGCGGACTGCCATCTGAACTTGGTCCTAGAGGCTGGGTAGTCAGTCAGCTGCTGCCCATGGGGCTGTTGTGAGGAAGAGGAGGCAGCACCTGGGTCTCATGTGGAGTAGGGGTGGGGAGGATGCCAGGACCCCGCTGATACCACGCTTCCTGCTGTGGCCAGAGCCCAAGTTCGTCAAGGTCTTTTGGATTCCTGAGAGTGAGAACCCAGATGATGACAAGATCTACTTCTTCTTCCGTGAGCTGGCAGTGGAGGCTGCACCGGCACTGGGACGCCTGTCAGTGTCCCGCGTTGGTCAGATCTGCCGGGTGAGGAGACCCTGGACCACATCTGTTGACCCTGACCTGCCCTTTTGCCCTTAGAGGCCTCACCCTCATCCCCTCCTATTGACCCTGCAGAACGATGTGGGTGGGCAGCGCAGCCTGGTCAACAAGTGGACCACTTTCCTGAAGGCACGGCTGGTGTGCTCCGTGCCAGGCATGGAGGGCGACACACACTTCAACCAGCTTCGTGAGTACCAGGAGTAGAGAGTGGGGTTGGGGGAGGGAGTGCAGGGGCACAAACCCTGGAGCCTGGCTGGCCTGTGGGGCTGGTGCTCTCCCCCAACTAGGCCCCTTCCCTGCAGAGGATGTATTCCTGCTGTCCTCGAGGGACCGCTGGACCCCACTGCTCTACGCTATCTTCTCTACTTCCAGGTGAGGGTTGGGAGGTAGCCGGGTGGTGCCGGTTGGGCTCTGCTGGGCCCTTTACTACACTTGCATCTTTGCCTGCAGTGGCATCTTCCGGGGTTCCGCAGTGTGCGTGTACAGCATGAATGATGTGCGCCGGGCCTTTCTTGGACCCTTTGCACACAAAGAGGGGCCCATGCACCAGTGGGTGTCCTACCAGGGTCGTGTCCCCTACCCCCGGCCTGGCATGGTACGTAGCCCAGGGACCCCCACCACAACCCATTGAAAGCCTCAGGGGTGGAGAACTTGGCCAGGGTTTTTTTGGGTAAATATGGTTTCTTCTTTTTGCTACGGGTGGAAGAAACGTCGCCTTCATCAGACAGGACTCCTCAGGGGAAGGCCACGTTTCCTCCTCAGACTCCCAAGGGCAAGGCTGGGTTTCCTCTCTCAGATTCCTAGGGCAGGTCTCTGTCCAATACACCCACCCACATACATATACACTCCAGGTTCCCAGAGTGCCGTGGAGGGCTGCCCAGCAGGCCCTCATACCCACATCCCTGTTGGCCTCCTTCCTATCCCCCAGTGTCCCAGCAAGACCTTTGGGACCTTCAGTTCCACCAAGGATTTTCCTGATGACGTCATCCAGTTTGCCCGGAACCACCCCCTCATGTACAATTCAATCCTGCCTGTGGGGGGGCGCCCTCTCTTCCTACAAGTGGGTGCCGGGTACACCTTCACCCAGATCGCTGCAGACCGCGTAGCAGCAGCTGATGGACACTACGACGTCCTCTTCATTGGCACAGGTCAGGGCCCTGCCAGAACCACCCATCCGACCCAGTCGAGGCTCTTGGGCTTGTTAGTGGAAGCGCCCCATATTCAGTCCTTTCTCCGGGCCCTTGCCTGGGCTGTGCCCCCATCTCCTTCTGGATGCTGCTCTGATGGCTCCGACCACATTCTCCACCGACCCAACCATGTTGAGGGTAGAAGCCTCTGAGGTGAAGAGACCCCTGGCCTTAGCTATCAAGGAACACAAGAAGTCACTCACCCCTTCTCATCCCTGCAGATGCTGGCACCGTGCTGAAGGTGATCTCGGTCCCTAAGGGCAGCCAGCCTCATGCTGAGGGGCTGCTCCTGGAGGAGCTGCATGTGTTTGAGGTGAGGCCTAATCCCCCCTCCCCTTCCTGTCACCTGGGGTTCTCCCACTCCACTCAGCCCTAATCCCAGTGCCCCTTCTCTCTCAGGACTCTGCCGCTGTCACCAGCATGCAAATCTCCTCCAAGAGGGTAAGTGATCAGAAGTCTTAGGGGTACAATGGACCGAGCGGGTGCCTGGGCGCCGCTACCTCCATGCAGCCCTTGGTAGTTTGAAACCCGGGATTTGAGTATAGGCTCTGCCTTCACTAGACTGTGTGACCTGAGACCTCAGTGTTCCCATCTGTCAAGTGGGGAAGGGATCCCTGACTGATGGGAGGCGGGCACAGAGCCGCCCTCAGTCAGCCCGGAGCCCCTCGTGCCCCCTAGCACCAGCTGTACGTAGCCTCACGGAGCGCGGTGGCCCAGATCCCGTTGCACCGCTGCGCTGCCCACGGCCGCGCCTGCGCCGAATGCTGCCTGGCGCGTGACCCCTACTGCGCCTGGGACGGGGCCACGTGCACACGCTTCCAGCCCAGTGCCAAGAGGTGGGCAGGGTTGCGGCGGGCCGCTGGGAGGGAGTCCCTGGCTAAAAGAAGAAGGGCTCAAGAAGGCTCCAACTTTCCCCCCAGGCGGTTCCGGAGGCAAGACATAAAGAACGGCGACCCCAGAACGCTGTGCTCTGGGGGTGAGTGCCCCAGCTGCCCCTATCTCTCAGCCCTTGAAGACGCCCCACCCCGCCCTGCCTGGCCTGAATCTGACATTCATGTCCTTTGCCCCCAGACTCATCACATCCCGCACTGCTGGAGCGGAAGGTGTTAGGTGTGGAGGGCGGCAGTGCCTTCCTGGAGTGTGAGCCTCGCTCGCTGCAGGCACATGTGGAGTGGACCTTCCAGCGCGCAGGGGAGGCAGCCGGCACCCCGGTGAGCCTGGTGGTGGTGGGGACCTCCCAACCATGCCCTTGTCAGGCTCCCTACATCCAGGAGAGGCTCCGCCCTGACTAATGAGGCCCTGACCTCCCCGGGTCTAGATGAGGTCTAGCCCCGCCCAGTGAGGCTCCGCCCACCCTGATCCATTTCTTCCTGTTTGGTGCCTTACCTGCACTCTTCCTGGTGAGGCTCGTTCAGGATAATTAGGTTCCTGACCACCCCTCTCCTGCAACACACACGCACGCACGCACGCACGCGCACACACACACATCGGATTTCCACTTGAAGACCATGTCTCCCCTTGCACCCAAGCTTCCAATGTGCACATGCGCGCCACTCAGCCACCGTTGACCCTTTTCTCTACTGTCCCACGGTGGCTCCCGGTAGCGGTGCTCCCGACCTTGCCGCCGCGCCTCACTCTGGCCCGGCCTGCAGGTGCTGGCGGAGGAGCGCGCCGAGCGCACTACGCGGGGGCTGCTGTTGCGCGACCTGCGACGCGGGGACTCAGGCTCATACCTGTGCACAGCGGTGGAGCAGGGCTTTTCGCAGCCGCTGCGTCGCCTGGTGCTGCACGTGCTGAGTGTTGTGCAGGCCGAAAGGCTGGCCCGGACTGAGGAGGCTGCACCGGTAGCGCCACCGGGCCCCAAGCTCTGGTACCGGGACTTCCTACAGCTGGTGGAGCCCGGTGGTGGTGGCGTAAGCTCCCTGCGAATGTGTCGACCGCAGCCCGCGCCGCGCCCACCGCCTCCTGAGTCGCGGAGAAAGGGTCGTAACCGGCGGACGCATGCCCCAGAGCCGCGCGCTGAGCGGGGGCCACGTAGCGCAGCGCACTGGTGACTCGGCAGTCCCCACGCCGGGGGGCTGGGGAGATGAGACGACTGGCGGGAGAGGGACGGACAGACCCTGGGAAACAGACAGCTAGTGGGCGGGCACAAAGCGGTCCCCGGCCAACCGAGACACCGCCGGACAGGCTCTGGCCGTAGGGTAGACGCCAGCTTATTTATTAACAGTGGATAACCCTTGAATGTAGCCCCGGGAGGGGCAGCCCAGGCCGGGCACAGGGTCCGGCTGTTCGGGAAGAGGCCAAGAAGCAGGGATTCATAGCAACGACCTGGACGGGAGAGGTGCCAGGAGTCCCCACCCTGGGAAAAGGACCTCCTCCTTGGGCAATGAGCAGAAAGCTGTGAACAGGCTGGGCTTGTGGGGGTGGGGTGGGGCAGGCCGACTGTACTAATGCAATAAACACATTATCAGCTGAAGTTGGAATGGCCCCAGCAGACAACCACTGGTCCTAGGTCTTGCTGTGTGGCCTTGGTTACCTTCCTAGCAGTTTCAGGGCCTCAGTTTCTTCTAAGGATGCTGTGGTGAGGATTAAAGGTGGTTACCATGTGACTGAGTGGATTCTATAGGGCCTGTGGGGATATTGACATGCACAGTATATTCTGAATAATATAATTTCTGGGCTAAGTGCTATGAATAAAATTGGGTGATGTGGAAAAGAATTTGAGCAGAAGGCCTCACTGAGGGGATGACATTTGAGCTAAATAACGAGCCAGCTAGGGGAATATCTGGGGACAGAGCATCCCAGGAGGGAAGAGCCAGTGCCAAGTTTCTGAGGTGGGCACAAGCTTGCTGTGTTTGAGGAACGTCAAGGAAGCCAGTATAATACACTGGAGTAATGGATTTGGGATATTTTAGGAGGCAGAAACGCATCGTCTCACTTTGTCCTATTTGGGAAGGAGGGACACGGCCTAACAACAGGGTGGGCCCAAGCTGGACCACTTCCTCCATTCAAGGGTAAGTGGTCCATGCATCCTTATACGACCTCTGTGACCTGTGGATAGAGGAAGGAAGATCAAAACTGCATTGTGCCAAGTGTTTCAGACATGTAGTTGTATTTCCATTCTCACACATACTATGCCAGGGAGGAATCATTGTTACTCCGATTTACAGATGAGAAAACAGGTTAGAGAGGGGGCAATTCTTTACACAACGTTGTAGGCTTAATAATAAAAGTTATCATCCTTCAACCTAGGTCCACCCACTGACCAGCATGGGTGCATGCATATGTGGGGGTGTCTACCCCCTTTTTAGGGCTCTCTGAGCCCTGGTGGCACTGGGCACTGATTGTCCATCACCCTTAATCCATGATGCTAACAGGTCAAATGATGGGTGCTTACCCTACATTTGCTTGGATGACCCAGCTATGGGTAAGGGTCTTGGAGGGTGGAGGAGTGGAGATGCACAGGGCCCCCTTGAATGTCTTGGCTGCCACGTGGGGTATTGCTGGAGGTGCCCCTGCGGTGGCTTATCTGGATGAAGACACAGGCCCATGTATATAGGGGAGTGGTGGGGGTCCCCAGGAAAGCCCTTGGGCACATGCACTAGTGGAGGTGTGCACTTGCCTGGGCTCCATCACTAGGTTAATAGTCCACACTGGCCCATGTGGGTTACTCTGTCCCTTTCCATGGCTGAGAGCTGTCTTCCCTAAATATAGCCCAGTAGGCTGAGCTCAGGTCTATTTTAGGCCTAGGCTGGGAGGTGGCCAGGCCTTCCTCAGGCTCTTAGAGGAGCCACTGCTGCCTCCATTGTCCTGCTACTGGGTGCTGACATCGCGTTCCCTGACAGCCCACCCCAATCATGACTGAAGAGACCCAAGAAGGTAGGGGATGACTGAAGGAGGGCAAGGCCCCAAAATTATGACCACGGAGAAACCTACCCTGTTCCACTGACCCCACTTCCTTAACTAGTTGTCAGTCATAATGTCCCAGCTCAAGTAATGGGACCTGCCCCCTGTGCATGGAGGGAAGGCCTACCATGCCTGGAACCCCTTCTCATCTCAGGTTCTGCCTGTTTCCCCTGCTAGGGACAGCAGGAGGGGTTGAGGGAGCTACCCAGCTGGGGGAGGGTGAATTTAGGCTGTGCCTAAGTGGGTGTGGGTTGGGCAGCTGCCTGGCTGGTTCAGCTCTTACTTCAGGGAGGAAGCTGGGATTGGGGATGAGCAGGGGTTCCAGGGAGCATTTGGGCGCATGGCCCAGAGACTGGGAGGGGATAGGCTTCTGACTTCCTCCAACTTGGGCTAAGTGTCCCCAGTTGGCTAAAGGTTGGGTTCCCTTGGTTGGCCAGACTAACTGCAAGTAGACTTTGGTGGCCCCTCATCTAACTGTCCCACCACATACAAGAAGTATGGAGGCGCAGGAAGCTCCAGGTCCAGCTGCTCCCAGCTCCAGCCTGGCCCAGCTGGTCAACTCCCCCCATCACATTTTCAATATTTTATACTGGATGGGAAGGAGGGAAACCCCAGGTTGGGGGGGGATGTTATCTCCTTTTGGGGTCTTAACAGTGACATTTACTGTGTTTCCCCTGGTAACAAACAGAATCCAAATTCAATTAACAAAGTGGGGGGGAAGAGCACAGCCAAGTACAGAGGGAATTTATTTATTTATTTATTTTTTAAAGATTTTTATTGGGGAATTGGGGGGGGGAACAGTGCTGGGGAATTGGGGGAGGGGAACAGACAAGTTGCTGTCATTTTGTTCTTCAGTCTAGTTGTGGCACTGACCCAAGTTGGCACCATCATTGCGCTCTTCCTGGGCGAGGCAGATCAGTCGCCAGCTTCTGGACGGCCACTCACTGCAGCTGCTGGCCGCTCACGCTGGCTGCTGGCTACACACGGTAGCCCATGGCAACCCACTGCCACAGGGACTGCAGCCCACGCCGTCGCCGGCGACTCACAGCAGCTCAGCTCCAGGTTGAGCTGTTGTTCAGCATCTTAGCTGTAGAGGGCAGTGTCACTGGCCCTCATATGTGGGATCCGAACCGGGGCCCTCTGGCGTCCCAAGCGAGTTCTTAACCATCGCACCACTCGGCCGGCCCCAGAGGGAATTTAATATGACCCCCAATGCATCACCCAGAAAGTCTACTCGCCCTTGCCCCTATAAGATGTCCCTTCAATGCCCCCCACTTTGTGATCTAGTTTCCAGCTAGGCATCTGGAGGTCTTAAGGAGCCAAGATTAAAAAAAAAAAAAAATCAAGTCAAAGAACAACCAGAAGAAAATATAATTTTTAGAAATAGTAAACACTTTGATGGATCTAAAAATCAGCAATAAAAATCACAGTAAAGGTGGCTAACTGGGTGGAGGCTTTGAATGGATAATTAGGAAGCCACATACATATTGATCAGCCCCCCAGGCAGAAACCCAATCAAATGGGTCAAAAAGGCCTTTTCTCAGTTACCAACTTACAAATATATGTGTGCACATGTATGTATATACATTTTTTTCTATGGAGATGCCTAAAGGTGGCAATGTTTACCCTTTTGGGAGCTGCGGGCCACCATTGTGGCAGACAGTTTGAGGATAACTTTTAAAAAGTCCCTGCTTTTTGCTCCAGTAATTCTGCTTCTGGAATCTGTCCACATTAACTGCCGGGAAATTGAAAAACACCTCATTACTCAGTGATGCACATCCTTTTCTAGAAGTTATTGATTTCAAAAGAGAGCTGGAAATAACCTAAATGCTCAGAGGAGTGCCTGAAAGAAGACCTCAGAGGCCTGTGAAAGTCTGATAACAAAGGCGGGTCTCTGTGTTGATTTTGAGTGAAAACAACAGGGTTCACATAGGTACAGCAGTCACACTGAGTGTGTTAAAGAACACAGAGCCAAGGCCAGGAGGGAAAGGCACCACCAGCTAGCATGGTGCTGCTTCTGCTGGGGACAAGGAGAATGCCAGGCTGTGGGTCTGGCCCGATGGCTAATTCCCAGGGTCTACAGGGGAAACTGATAGAAGAGGCAGGAATGAACTTCATGCACTATGGGTTTATTCCTCCAAGGCTGATAAACTCTCCTCTAGAAGTGAGCAGGTAAAGGAATACCTGAAAGTCCTTGAGGTACCTTGAAGGAAACAAACGAGACCAAGTCAGGTGCACCACCTGCTACTGTGGATGAAAACAGGCCTATGGGGTTCCAGGGTTGTCCTGACTCCAACATCAAGGGCCATTCCTGAGTTGGTTTTAGGAGTCCCATGCCTCTTTGTCCTGTCCCCATCTTCTCTGAGCCCCTGCTGCCTCTGGAAGCCACCTAGAAGGGCGGGGGTGACCCACTGGCTGAATCAGCCCCGCGGTGCCCCACAGACACCATGGCACCAATGCTGAGCCCGAGGAACAGGGCATCACTGGCCCCCAACCACGTGCAGGAGGTGAGCCTACACCGGGTGGAGTCCATCAGCGACCTACACAGCGGAGGTAAAGGGACAGGGGAACGGGATGGATGTACTGGGAGAAGAGGAAAGCAGGTACACCCACTGCCCTCCTGATGCCCCATTCACCCCGCAGGCTCACTGCGCCCATACCTAGCCGAGGAGGCTCAGCCATGGGATGGGCTGCTGGGCATCCTGCCGCCGTCGCTGTGCGCCCAGCCTGGCTGCAGCCCTTTGCACAGCCGAGGGGGCTTCCTGCTGCTGCTCGCACTGCTGGTGTTCACCTGCCTGGGGCTTGCCATCCTGGCTGTCTACCTAAGTGGTATGGAGGCGCAGGAAACTAGTGGGAACCAAGGGAAAGGAAGTGGGACCAGGAGGCCTTTCTGCACGTTTGGGAGGAGCAACTGCAGAGGCTGAGGCGGTGAAGTGTGGGGTGGGGGTTCTCGGCACCCTCTGGTCTGGGCTGGATGGAAGGGGGATCGTGGGGTGGCACGGGGTCTGATAATCCCCCATCTTATCCTGCCTGCCTGTCCGCAGTGCTGCAGAGTGAATCCCTACGCATGCTGGCACACACACTACGCACGCAAGAGGAGATGCTACTCAAACTCCGGCTGGCCAGCCTCAGCCAGTTGCGGAGGCTCAACTCCAGTGAGGCCCGAGCACCCAGTTGAGATACTACCTGGACCTGAGGTCTGGGTGTGTGTGTGGGGGGGCAATAAAGTGGCCATTAGCAGGTTTCTCCTCTCCCACTGCTGCTCCACACTACTTTCCTGGTGAGGGTTTTTCATAGGAGCCTCATCTGGCCCCAGAGCTGCTCGCCTCTCCTGGCTTCTTCAGGCCAGGCCTAGCCAAGCCTTCTGGTGCCAAGACCCTGCTTTGGGTGGCCCAAGGTCAGAGGAAGTGATACCAGCCGCTTGGCTCCTCCGGTGGCCTATCAGCACTCTCTGGCTTCCCTCAAATAGCAGGTTCAGAAGTCTAGAAATAGCCACCCCCATCCCAGTCACCCAAACTCTGCCAGGCCTCCCAGTGGGGGTCCAGCCTCAGCTCTCAAGACAGGCTGGGCTGAGTAGGACCATCTGGGGAAGAGACTCTTGGCGGGTAAAGGTGAACTGAAGATGGGGAGACCCAGCTGGGCCCAAGCCTAGGGTGACGGATGGGAAGCGAGGCAGGCAGAAAACACCCAGGATCCAGGTCCACAGAAGGCTGAGTATTCAGTTTACTTATCTCTAATAGTCTTTAAATATCAGTACATAAATCCATTCCCATTCTAGATAGCCTCACCTACCCACCTGTTGTGACATTTGTCCAGACGCCATCCCCCCCGCCCCCAAGGAAGTGGTTCATCCCAGGGGAGCAAGGCCTGAAAAAGGAGAAAAAGGGACAACCCTCCTACTGCCTGTCCCATAGCCCTGGGACAGGCACATATCTGGCCTGGCCTGAGACAGGGCAAGAAGAGGCCATAGGGCTGAGTGCAGGGGCAAAGGGACAGGGTCCCAAGTGGCCTGGCCTCCAGCCACACACACCCATGTCTGTTTTTGGTTTTGTCATTAAAAAAATAAAGCGACAATTTTTGGCACGGACCAGTTGTCGTACTGTCTTCTGTCAAAAATACGGGCAAGGGTGTGGACAGTCTCCTCTTCGGCTGGTCCTGCCTCACAGGACGTCTGCCCTCTTGTCCCGCATGCGGCTGCGTACTTTGGTCCGTGCTTTGAAGGCAGCGGCATTGTACAGGTGCTGAAGTGGGAGCAAAGAGTGATGATCTGGTGAGCTGGGGACGGGGAGGCCCAGCGCTTCTCCTCCCTCCCGCCCCTGCAGAGCTTCAGTCTTCCAGGCGGCAGGAATACCGGGAAAATAAAGGTGCCCAAGGGTGCAAACCTTCTCAAAACGTGAGATCTTGCAGGCCTTCAAGGCAGTGGCATCCAGCACCAGCACAGGGCCCAGGCCAAAGACGTCCCGGAGTAGCTCATTGTTCTGGGGGCAAAGAGAGCAGTGAGCTCAGGCCAGTCGGAAGCAGACAAGCTGGGTGCACCCTCCCTGTAGGCCACTCCACCTGGAGGTGGTGGTGCATGCCCGACCCCAGCACATCCTTGAATGCGGCATAGATCCGGCGCCGAGCCCAGCTGTCCACGTAGAGCACCTCAAGGCCGAAGCGGACTGTCTCTTCTTCACACTCGCCGCCCTGCAGGGTAGAGGGGCCCACAGGACTGGGCTTGGCGGCTGTGCCTGGGGGCACACTCCCACTAGGACACACATTCTCACACGCACCTCGACAAAGTGCAGCACAGCACGGAAAGTAGAACGCTGACGCCGACGGTCAGATTTGGCACGGTACTTGCTGCTGTCGGTGGCCAGAGTGCGCAGCGTACTGCAGAGGGAGTCCATATCCTCGTAAATAAAGTCCTCCTGCAGCGCGGAGTGATGGAGGGTGTGTAAACAGAACCCTGAACTTGGCTGGCTCTCAACATGGGGTTGCCCAAACCCTTCCTTTCACTGAGGATCTCACTTTCTTCTCTGCCTGGCCCCCTTGAGCCCCTTCTTGACCCCTGCCTGGGCCAGACACCCCTGCTCAGGGTCCCCAACATAGCCCCTGGCACCTGAGTCTGTGTTGGGGCTATTTCCACACTATAATGACCTAAGGCTGCCCTGTTTTCTGTGGCATCCCCTGCAACCAGCCTGGGACAGGCAAGTGGCATCAGCAGCCCCCTCACACCTCAAGGTCCCGGGCAAGCTCAAAGAGCAGCGCGATGGTCTCGCCGGCAGCGATCCTCAGGTTCACACTTTCGCTGGACAAGAGCTGGGGCAGCCGGGGCAGCTGCCTGGGGAGGGGCCAAGCTGAGCTACGTGTGGGGGTGGGGGCCTCTTCACCTTCCCCCTCCCACACCCAGGGGTCAGTCGTCCCTACCTGTCAAGGATGTGACTGATATGGGTACTGGGGCAGATGGTGAGTAGCAATGCCCAGGCCTGTAGGGCGGCACAGAACAGGCCATGCAGGCTGGCAGGGGCCACAGGGGCTGTGGGGCCACCCACACTACAGGACCGGCTGAAAACACCTTCCAAGCACGTGAGGCAAGACACCAGGTCCTAGTGGCACAGGGAGGCAGGACAGAGGCTCAGGGGCAGAGCTAGGACCTAGGTGCTCTATTACCTGTGAACAAAGGCTATTTACCTGGACATCGGCAGCAGCCACGTAGCAGCCCAAGCCCAGGGCAGAAGCGCACTGTTGGGAGGAGGGTAAAGCCAGGCCGTGGTCAGAAGGTGAGCCTGGGGGCAGGTGGAACCCACCTCCCTGCTTAGGGATTGGGTGAGGGAAGGGTGTCACAGAGCATGGAACACTCACGTGGAGCCGGGCAGCAGGGCTAGCTGTGCTGTCACTGAGCATGGAGACCAGCAGGGGCTGCAGGCTGTGGAACAGCTCCTCGCCCTTGGGTCCAGGGCCCAGCTGTACACAGAGCAGGCCTAGCACAGCGGCGGCCAGGGCCTGTTCCTCGCCCTTCCCTGCAGAGATGCTTTGCAGTCAGCCCATGCACAAGGGTCACCCAGCCAGTTCAGGTCACCCACATGCCCTGGATCCAACCTTTCTTAAGGCACTTTTCCAAGGCATCGGCCAGTGTAAGGCGGCGCTCCAGCAAGAAATCAGGGAGTAGGCGGGACGCCAGGGCCAGGCGCAAGCTCTCTAGAGCACCTTGCCGGGTCTTGGCACTGAGGGATAAAGCAGAGGGGTCTTGTTGGCCAGCCCTGCCTGAGTCGCAGCTGGCACGGGCTGATTAGGGACATGGGTGTAGGGATTGGGTGGAAGTCAGGGGTACCTCTTATCTGTGAGGCAGTCCACATACTCCTTCACCTTCTCCTCAAGGTCCTCCTGCTGGCCTTGCTCATCCACGGCATCCCCCCCTGCAAGGCCAGCTGGTCAACCCTGTTTCTTGCCCTGGCCCACGGAGCCCCCACTGAGTCCCTGCCAAAATCCCACCCGCTCTCACCAAGGCTGTCCTCTGCCATGGTGCTAAGAAGGCTGGGGCAATCACTGGTGGTGCTGCGGGCCTCACTGGCTGCCTCATCTTCACTGGAACCTGAGTCAGCTTGGGTACTGCTCCGAGCTCCTGGGGATGAGAAAACGGGACCCTTGGCCTGCCTCCATTGATGAGCGATGGCTAGGGATACCACAGGACCGGCCTCATGACACCACAAGACAGAATGCTGCCCCTTTCAGAGATGAGAAAACCGAGGCTGAGGCGGGAGGCAGGGAACAGAGCCAGGAAGCAGGAGAAAGAAAGGGAACGTGGTCTATCTGCTGGATAGCACTGGGCACCAGGCCCAGCCTAGGAAAACCTGGCCGACTTGGTGAACAGACCCTCCTCGAGACCAGAGCCTGCTTCAAGGAGGAGACTGAGAGCCAGATAGAGGCAGAAGGGGCTGCACAGGTCCACCTAGGCCTGTGGGCCAGCCTACGGTGGGGGCACATCCAGGCAGATCCTGGGGAGCTCAGCCACCAGCCTAGACTATGCCCCTAAATGGCCAGGGCAAAAGTCAGGGACCTATATAGAGTCAGACAGACACAGGGTTCAAATCCCAGCTCCACAGCTCAATAGGGGTGCAACCAGGTCAAGTGCCTAGTCTTAAAAGCCTCAATTTCTCTGCAAAACAGAGATGCCAAAGCACCTCTTTCGGGTAGAGCAAGTGAAGACAATGATTAAACAAGTGACTAGTTATGGCTCCTCTGTGGACGAACAAGCTCACCCATCAGCCCAGGGAGCAGAAGCCCAGCTCCTAGTGGAAGTGGGTGGGTGCCCCTAGCTTCAAGCACTCTATCTTCTGAGCTTCCCTTGGTCCATCCCAGGCTTTCAGCCTTGGGTGGATAGACACAAAGGCTCCTCCTGCCCCTGGAAAGTGCAGCAAATGAAGTGGCCCAACTGCATGAGCCCCTAAAGATAGGTTGAACACAGGAAAATGTCAGGATAAGTAGAATTGAACTCTGCTGTGTGTGCCAGGGGCTGGTTTTGACAGGGCAGCTGCTGAAGCAGAGCCCCAGATGGGTTTTGGTCATCAGGCCGGCCCTACTTCTCTGGAACTACATACTCCATGTGCCTGCAGGACAAAGTCCAGCACCTGCACAGGCCTCTGTTCACCACCCAACCAGCCAAAGCAGCCCAGGCTTCCCTCATTTGCTCCACTGCCAGGCTGTTGCACTTGTTCCTTTCCCATGGTGCTCTTTTCTTCACTTCATCAAGACTCACTCAGAAGCCCCAACCTTGAGGCTTTCTTGGTCTAGGGCTGACACCACTCAGTGAACCTGTCCCCCCAGCACGTCCTTTTGGAATGTTGCTACCCTCTTACATGTACCCCCACATAAGCCGCATTAGGGCAGTACCGAGGTCTGAGCTGTACCTAGGAAACATGCCGTCCATGAAAATAAACATACGTGTTTACGGCCCCAGGCCCCAGGCCATTCTTCTGGTCGAGGCTGATAAGCGTCTGAAGACTGCCTCAGGCTCCAGGGACTCTTCCACCCTCTAGGGCCAGGTCTGCCAAGGCCGGAATCCTGCAGCTTCCTTATCGCCCCCTCCCTCAGTTCTCCCCCAAGGCTCCCACCAACTTCCTAGTCCAGTCCAGGAAAGAATCAGGGATTGGGGTAAAGGGTGGGCTTCCTGCTCTGTCCTGCGGGTTTGTACACCACAGCAGGCAACTGGGGCGAAGGAGCAATGGGGAAACCGAGTCCGGGAGGTGCCGGCCCGACTGGGGTCGGGAACGCAGGCAACCGACCAGCGAGCAGCGCGCTCAAGTTAGGCGCACACGTGGCCTCTATCGCCTGAGGCACGTGTCAACCGCGAGGGAGTTGCGGGAAGCGGCGCCAGAATGGTCCAGGCAGGAGTTCCTGCCCAGGACGCTCGGGAACACGGACGAAAACCCACGCAAGGTCCCCCGCTCGCCGTTCATCAGTTGCCCCGTGCCCCCCACTTACCCCCTCTGCGGCGCTGGCCGCCCTTGCGGGGCGCGCTGCCCTTACGGGCACGGGGCATGCCGGGTATCCGGCGCAAGGGGGCGCGGGGTCAGGGACCCGGCGGGCTGGGGCTCCAGACCAGCGAGACGCCGGCCGGTGCGCTGAGCTGAGCCTTGGAAAGACGACGCGAGAAACACGCCGCGCTTGCCACCATCTTCGCGAGGCGCCCCGCCCTGTCAAACCGGTCGAGGGGCCCCGCCCTGCTAGACGGGTCGCCGGGAAGACGAGTTCCTGGCCTTTCGGTTTAGACCCACAGCCACGCGGCAGAAACTACTATTCCCATGGGGCTGCGAGCGTAGATTACAGCGGGCCGGCTGGGCGCAGAGCACCTCGGGAATTGTAGTCTACTCCCGCGACCCGTAAGCCCACGACACTCTAGGTGAACTATGCACCCACAATGCTCTGCGACCTCCCCACCCCCCACAACATACAAGCCCGCAGTCGTTAACTCTGAAGACACCCTCTTGGAGCCGCCCACCACGCAGGACCCACATCTCTGGGCAGTTGCAGCGGGACACTGGCGACAGGATGAGCGTGGGGCTTGGTACAACAGGGGAAACAGCCAAAGCTCAGGCAGTGAAAGAAAAAGTGACTTTATGATGAAAGCAAGGTAGACAACAGCTTAGCAGGTACAGATCTTAGCCAAGATCTTGGGGCCCACCTGCCCTTGGACAGATAGGTGTCTTGTGACCACTCCATAGATTCAGTGATGTGAAGGAACAGAGAGCCCTGGGCTGGCAACTCTAACCATCTGGAATCCTGTCTCTCCCTGGGGCTACTTCCTTGTTAGGAGGGATCAGGTGATTTCAGAGCTCCTCTGGTTTTCAAATCGTGTAAACGCCCCTTCCACTTCCCAGGGATCCCATGGAAAGTAGGGTGTGTGTATGGGAGGACTGGCTAGGCTAAATAGAACAGGAGTGGGATAGAACCCTCCAGGACTGGGAGTGGCAGCAGGAACAAGAGGGTCAGAGCAGGTGACTCCTGGCTTTATGCTGCTTCTTCAGGCCCAGGCTCAGGTCTGGGCTCCTGGCAGGTAGGGCCAGCCCAGCCCCAGTAACAGTGGCAGCTGAAGGACTCCCAAGCTCCAGGGCTGCCATCTGGCTGCAGGTGCAGAAAGGATTCCAGCTGTCCGGGGTCTTGCCGGGCACAGCGTCCATGGCCATGGCACCGCTGGTGACTGCAGGCTATGGCCGCCCTGGTCACGTTGATCACATAGGGGCCCAGGGTGTCCACCAGGTAGTCATGAAGATGCCAGCACTTCTCCTGAGGATAGGGAAGGGATCTGTCAATACTCCTGCTCTATGGCCCTGACATGGTTTCTCCCCAACCCTAGGACCCCAACATGGGCTGTGTGGCAGGCTGGAGGGGGCAATGATCACCTCAGAGCTGGAGATGCTCAGGTCCCCCCAGAGCACCACGCCGGCTGCCCCCAGCGCTGCGCTCACACCAATGGTCTGCACAAGGTCATCCTGGAGGCAGAGAGCTGTTAAGCCAGGGCTGAGCTGGCCAGATCCGTTTGGACCTACCTCCTATCTTCTAGAAACTTTCCAGGCTTATTACCATGATCTGATTCCACCTCTAGAGTAGGGCCCTTTGGCACTGAGCCTCTGAATGGCTTCTCAGGCCCTCCACTCAGAGAATGTCTCCCCTCAGACCATGGCTCCAAGGCTGGGGCTTGCTTTCTCCCTCAAAATCTTTCAAGGCAGAGCTACACCTTGTCAGAAGCTCCAGGACAGGACCACCGCCCTCAAATCCCCCTGAGTAAGGTGTTCCTTTCAGACCTTCCTAGGACAGGGTCAGGTCTCCCCACTAGACATCAACTTTCACTCACCTTAGACAGGAACCTCCCAGAGCTCTGGTATGTGAAGCGGGCATAGGCCAGGACAGGCAGGGGATGTGGGTGCCCAGTAAGGGCCACACGGAAGGCCTCCTCCAGGCGGTATCGGACAAATGTCTGGTGATGAGCAGGCGGCAGCTTTGGTGGGAGGTAGATGCTAGGGAAGAGGGCGCTGGAGGCAGCCCAGAGCCAATCCAGTTGGGTGTTGAGGGCAAGGGTGGCTGAGTGGCAGTGGCCCGTGTAATTGGAAGCCATACCGTGCCAGCCATTGCCACAGGCTGGGAAGTGATAGAAGCCCCAGAGCCCATGGGGCCGCAGTGCCCGGCCCAGGCGCAGTGTGTCTTCCATCAATGCACGGGCTGCCTGTTCAAAGCCAGTACGGGCCTTGTGGAGCTGCTCCTGGGGGTCCAGGTTGGGGAATACCTGCTGTGCCCAAGCCCATGAGGCTTCCTGATAGGCTCGGCGGTGGCCCCAGTTCTGAGCCCAGAGTGGACACCATTCCTCCCAGTCCAGCACTGCCAGACCAGCAAAGCCAGGTCTCAGCCTGTGCTGGATCTGGTAGGCAGCCCGTGCTAGGTGGCGGTCAAGGAGCACAGCCTGGGGGATGCCCCCATTATGAGCTGTGCCCCTGGGCCCAAAGTAGGGATAGAGGCCAAACTGGTTCTTGTAGAAGATGGTGATGTTCTGGCCATGGAAATGCTGGCCATGGTTGGCTGTGATGCCCAGGGCCTCTAGTGGTAGGTGCACACCAAAGCGGGCACTACAGTGTGCTGAGGGTACGTTCCACAGCACGGAGAAGGGGCGTTCAGGGGCCCGAAGCAGGGGCTGGCCACACCCTAGGCACAGGGCTACCCCTAGCACCAGGGCCAGGCTTAGCTGCATGGTCATGCCCCAGGAATGGAAACCTGCAGGAGAGAGGGGTTGTGAGCTCAGAGTCCATGGCCATACCTTCTACACAGCAGGGAAAGCTGGGGAAACTTTCCCACTCTTCCTCACAAGAATGGGGAGTAGGAAAAGCATGGTCCCATAAGGGTCCCACAGGCTTCTCAGAGCAGCCACACCCCAAGCTGGTCTGGGCACCTCTCCCATTTTCCATCTCTGTCATGGCACCATTGTGCCCTGACACCTCCCTCACCCCCAGCTCTCCCAAGTCTCCTTCTTTCCTTTGTCCGTCTTATTTCCTGCCCCAAGAACACTCAGCTCCCACCTTGCCTGGCCTAATTCCTACTCAACACTCAAGTCTCTGCTATGATATCGCCTCCCCTGGGAGGTCTCCTGGATCTCCAGGCGGAGTGAGGAAGACAGCATGGACCCTGCCACTGTATGCCTGCCTTCCTGTCTGTCCCTTCAGGTCAAGATTCTATCTGTCTAGTTCCCCGTTGTCTGTGCCCAGTCCAGGGCCTGGCACACAGTAGGTGCTCAGTGAATGGTGATGAGTAAGCAAACGTGGAAGGGAACAGATACCCTGTCCCTTGGGCCTGGCAGAGTGGGAGGGGCAAAGGGCAGGTAGGTGTCCTTCCATTTATGGCCCGAGGGCCAAAGTGGATTTGGAGGCTCCTGCAGGGGTCAACAAATAAACTGTCATAGCCACACCCAACAGAAGCCTTTATTCAGCCACACCGGCAGCTCTGAGCAAGAGCCATCTCCTGGCCCCACTGACACTCAGGAAATGTGCCCAGGCTACAGCTGCCCCCAGGGGCTAGGGGTTGAAGTATGGCCAGTGGGCTGAGGCTGGGACTGTCCTGGGCAGTCCATTGAACCAGAATGACAGTGCCTTGTTCTCGGTAGCCCTCAGATGTCCTTCTCCATCCAGAATATCGGGCATCCTCTCAGGTCATGGTATTGCGTCTCCAGCAGGTTTTGTGGAAGGGGCCCTGCTGGAGGTCGGGGTGACGTGGTCAATGGCTCAGGCAGCGGAGGAGGTGGCGGCAATGATGGCCCTTTGGGGGCTCTTGGGACGGCTTGGGCAGTCAGGCTAGGGGTCTTCCAGGATGGCTGGGGAGAAGGGGCCCTGGTGAAGGCACTAAGTAAGGTGGTGGGCAGTCGTTGGCTGGTGAAAACCAGGCCCTGCACAGGCTCACCCAGCCGGTAGCCCAGGTGGACATAGAAGTATAGCTGGTCATGGGTGGTGAGGTGTAGCCGGCGGAAGCCCCGGGCTTGAGCAAAGACCTCGAGCCCCTCCATGAGGTGGCGACCAAAGCCACGGCCCCTCAGGGCCCGGGCCACCACCACTGTCTCCACTAGGAGGCTCTGGGGCTGGTCCAGCACCCGAGACAGGCGGGCATGGCCCACCACAATGGGGGCTGCCCCGGGTGTGGGGTGGGGGCTCAGCAGCATCAGGCAGAGGGGGAAGTTGTCTGAGGACTGGCTTAAGGAGTGCAAGCGGGAGGCACGGCTGCGGGGCCACTGCTCATTGATGAGGTCAGCACAGGCATCCAGAAGCTCAGGTCGGCAGTGCACGGGCTCCAGGGTCAGCTCAGCCAGGCAGGGGGCTGGTGTCTCCTCTGGCTGGTGTGCGGGCTCCAGGGTCAGCCCAGCCAGGCAGGGGGCTGGTGTCTCCTCTGGCTGGTGTGCGGGATCCAGGGTCAGCTCAGTCGGGCCAGGACTGAGGGTCATCTCTGGTGGCATGCAGAACGCGGGGTCAGTTCAGCCAGCCTGGGGCTCAGGATCAGCTCTGGCTGGTGTGCAGGATCCAGGGTCAGCTCAGGTGGGCTGGTACTCAGGATCAGCTCCACCCAGTGTGGATGGTCTAGGGGAGGGGTGAACTTGGTTGGGCCAGGGCTCAGAGTCAGCTCCCTCCTACATGTAAGATCCAGGCTCAGCTGAGTTAGGCTGGGAGCCAAGGCCATCTCCTGCTGGGTTGCAGGTGGCTCGGTGCCAGGCTGGGGGTTAAGGCCACGGTCTCCAGGAAGTGGCATCTCCTCAGACCACAGGGTGCTCCTCTTATGGGACACCAGCGATGCTGTGCTGTGCTAGGAGGGAGGACGGGGTTGGGGCAGGGGAGGGCTGACAGAGTGCCATGCATTCTAGAACAGGGGACTGGTGGGCTGCACCTTGTCCCTATACTCACCTGATAGCACAGATGACCTGGAGGAGACCCATCTCCTATCCCTGGGAGAGCTGACTCAGGTGGACGGCAGAGGGATGGGTTCAGGGTGTCCTGCCTCACATGGGATGGAGGCTGAGGACTAAAAGCTGGGGCAGAACCCAGGAGTCCTGGCCCCATCCTACTTTGGCTACAACTTTGTCCTCCCTAGGATAGTTGACCAGCCCAATATCACCATGGCTGGCTGGCCATCGGACAGAACATGCAAACCAGACACCATGAGCCTCTACTTAAACCCACCCAAGGCTCCTTTCAGAGGGTACACAGCTGTCCCCAGGAGCTCCCCTGTTCCTCCTTTCCCTACATTCCAGGTCACCCTTTTTGACCACCTGGGCCATGCCTGCCACTTAACTGATCCTAAGGCACCACTCACCCATCCATTAGGCTGTTTCCCCTCCCTGGACTGCCTTCCCTGCCTGAGGCACAGCCCATGGCCTCCTCCCCAACACTGCCCAGATTAGGACACTTTGATTGGGCATGGACCCAGCCGTCCCCTCAGATGGGCCCCCAGCAGCACCAGCAAGGGGCCCGGCGAACAGTCACACAGCAATGTAGCTTATGCAAGCCTGGTTCCCCACTGGCCTGAGTTTCGTAGTCACCCTAAGATAATGACCACAGCTTCCTTCCTACATCCACAGGGGGTCCAACAGCCACCAGGTTGGGGGCCCAGACCTCCTGCACCCAAACCCCATTGTTTGCCCAGCCCACCCCAAGCCCTGCTGGCAAGGAGGGTCTATGCTGAAGGATTTCTGGAGGTGGGGGTAGGGAGCGGAGGAGGCGCTGGATACCATCATTCTACTCACCTGCTCACCAGAGAGGGTGTCCTGGCTCCCCTTCCCCACCTCCCCAGGAAGGCCCCCTGAACTTGAGGCCAATTCCACACTGGTCAATAACAGGTAGCCCACTCCCCTCACACCACATTACACTCAGAGAGCTATAAGCCCCTCACCTGCAATCAGCCACCTCCGCAGCAGACGCACCCCTTGACCGGGAGGAAGGAAGCCCCAGGATCCGCTTCTAGGCCTGGAACCCCAGGCTTCCCCGTGGGATTAACCCCTTCAGTACCAGCCCAACCCACTTGTGGGCGGGGCTCCTGGGTCCTCAGAAAGAGGAAGCCCTTGCGCCTCGATTTCTCCCTCCCTCCTAGTGGGTCCAAATCGTGGAGTTTTGGGGGTGGGGACTTTGGGAGCTTGACCCTGGGTGGGTGTGGCTCGGCATGCTCTGGGAGGGAACCACAGATACATGGAGGACGTCGGGGCGCGTAGCCACTTGACCGCACGCACGGAGCGGACAGAAACGCGCGAGACAATGAGGATCGACACGCCGCACGTGGGGAGGGAGTGGTACTAACATGCTGAAGCTGGGCTCCAGGATGCTCGGCCTCCTGGCTCCGCACAGGTCGGGATCTCGCTGTCTCTGGCTCAGACTCCTCCGTCCGCCTGCGTTGGCCCCTAGCGGTGCGGCGGACGCACTGCAGCCGTCGGGGTTCGGGGTGCACCGCTCGGCTTTGAGTCTCCAGGCGGCCAGGCTCCGCCCGTGCGTCATAACTGACTCAGACTCAGACGCACTCAGTCTTTGCGCTGTCTTCTCCTCTGCCCCGCCCGCCCGTGCTGAGCCTGGCCCTGCTTCCTACACGTCACAGCTGTGACCCAACGCTGGCTCTGTCTCCCATAGGCTC